CTGAAAACACCACATCTATTGTGCGACAGATCCCTACAGTGTCACATTTCCTGGTTCATTGTGGGGAATCTTTGGGACGTTTTCCCTGTGCTCTAGGTCTAATGACAGAGTGTGACGCATGCTGTTCACACTGTCTCTCTCACAGCAGGTCAAAGTTGTTTGTGGCAGGCATATGCAAATGTCCTGTAATAGGCTTAACTTTCTAACAGATTATGACGGAGAGGCAGATAGAAAGGTGGAGGCTTCTTGATGTCTCAAGTAGCAGTGCTGTGTTTGTGTAAGGGCCAGCAGAATCATGTCGGAACATGGATTATTGTCTGCTGCAGAGGCATGATGGGTAGATAGATAGGCCCACTCACCCAGATGATGTTAGCTGGAGGTTTGAGTTAGCGGAGATGGACGTTGTAGGCAGGCTGCGACGCAAGAGCATTGTGTCTCGCTGTCCACGCTGTGGTAAATATGGTCCAGCCTACTCCACCATACGGATCTCCACCGCTGAGATGGAGTCTTACCACCACTTTGTGGGGGTGTGTAAGGAGACTGAGTCAACCACACTAAGAAGTATGTCTACCAATTACCTCCATCCTCATTCCATGCTTCCCCTTAACATGTGTAATGTTTTACTGTCTGTATCTCACTTTAGTCTGAGCTTGGAAAATGCATCACAAATGTACTTTCACATGAAAGATCACAGTTGTCACAGTTGTGTTGCAATGGAGTAGTGCAGTAATGACGTATTTTTGTAGGCCGACCAGGAAGTTAGCATCGCAAGGGCTACCCCAACAAAGCAATGGGATTTCGGTAGATTGCAGAAAATAAGATCTGTGGCAAATACACGTTTATGATACCAATCGCCAGTAGTTAGCCAATGTAAGTAGTAACTACAGTATCTAACGTTAGGCTATAAAATAACTACATAAAGGTTAGATGGCTGCACATCACCACCGCTAAGCTAACGGCGGCTAATGTTTGGCGTTATGACATTTAGTAGTTTATTCAGTCACTTGTCAACAACGGCTGTTTTTAAGACACATTTAATGTTCATACATTTAGCAGTGTGGTATTTAATGACGTATTTGATGTCGTGGAACAAAATGTGGAAATCTCTCCAGCTTGTGTGAATCACAAACCCTATTTAAAGCATCTAACAACAGAACACGTTAAAAGAAAACTGAACCAGAAGTGATACAATTCTTATTAATTTCTGGCTTTTAGGAATCATTCCTGCACCACCCTATTATTCAAAAGCAAGATGGCTGATGCCTTAGTTACGTTCTTTGTCCGAGGCCATGTCTTGCCGTTGGACCCCTGGGTCAGAGTAGATATTATGTTCCTATTTATTTCCCTTTTATACATTTTTACACCATTACTTTGACTTTCACTTGGGAACAACATACTAGAATGTATTCACTCTCTGAGTGTCATACACCACGTGTCTTCACTCTGTGGGCTGCTATACTAGATATACTATATCCATATATAGTGGGGTAGAACTATGAGAAATCAGAAATCCTTTATTCATCCCGCAGTGTGAAAATGTACAGTATACAACAGCAAAGGTACAGTGCAAATAAAAGGCAAAAGTATATGGCTAAATACTGACAAATTAAATACAATTAAAAACAAGTTAGTACACATCCATGGTAAAACATTAATTATAAGGGGACAAGTTCAGTTTGAAGTTCACAGAGTCTGAAAAAAGAGGAAAATAGTCTCTTAGGTTTTTGGGGACTTTATGATTCAGACGTCAATAATGTTTGGCCATTTTGATATACAATACTTAAAGGGGACCTATCATGCAAAATGCACTTTTGTACGTCTTTTATACATGAATATGTGTCCCCGGTATTCCAGGGAACTCACCAAGTGTCAGAAAACACAACCCTCTCTATTTTCCTCCATACCCAAATCTCTAAAAAAGGGGCTGCAACGGATCTGATAAAAACTGATCCAGATTTGAACACTGTCCTGACGTCAGGACAGTGGCGCTACGGCTATTGGGCCAACTCCACCAATCAGGAGGAGACAGCCACGGCCATTGCCGTTCGAAAGCGCTGGAGACGCTGTAGTACATATGCCAGGCCAGTAGATGGTGCTGTTCTCACAGAATCAGCCCTTGCAAAAACAGAGCTAGAAATTGTCAAATTGAGCAAAATGAGGCATGGCTAAAATGCATGATCTGTTTGGTATTTTGAAAAAAAAAAAGGTATAAATATGCCTTATATAGGTATGGTCCTACACTATATTATTCAAATACAGCATGATAGGTCCACTTTAAGTTGAATGAAGAGGATGGACTGTTTTCGAGACATAATGTTTATTTAAAGGGGACCTATCATGCAAAATGCACTTTTGTACGTCTTTTATACATGAATATGTGTCCCCGGTGTTCCAGGGAACTCACCAAGTGTCAGAAAACACAACCCTCTCTATTTTCCTCCATACCCAAATCTCTAAAAAAGGGGCTGCAACGGATCTGATAAAAACTGATCCAGATTTGAACACTGTCCTGACGTCAGGACGGTTGCGCTACGGCTATTAGGCCAACTCTCCGCCTGTAAGTGGCGCTGTAGTCTACCACAAAAGCAGCGAAGAAGACTTCCCGCGCATGGTTACCATGGTTACCCTTCTGTTTATTCTCCGCTGTGGCTTTTTTTCTCCCTCCCCGAGGCAAGCGTTTGCTCCTGCTGCTTTAATTCAATGCAATCCCTCCCCGTCGGGGCAAGCACTGTAATTCTCTCCGGTTAGTCCACCAGCAGATGACAAACACCCACCTCTCCGCCTCTTCCAAGGAACGAGGGGACCGTGCGGCAGAGTTTCAGTTAGGTTTTCTTTCGCCGGTCAAGATGTCCGTTAAAGTTTAAATCTTCCGGACAAAATTAGAAAAGTGCCGGTCAAAGGTCTTCTTTGTTATTTATTGAGCTTTAAAACAAATTAATAACGACTCTATATAATAAGATAATAAAACATGGAGGACGGAGATCTATTTTTCTCCCACTCTTCTGACTTGATCAGAGCGCGCTCCCCTCTCCTGCAGGGGGGCGTGGTCAGCTGCAGCTCACAGAATCAGCCCCCTGCAAAAACAGGGCTGGAGAACAGCAAATGGAGCGAAATGAGGCATGGCTAAAATGCAGGATCTGTTTGGTATTTTGAAAACAGAAACGTATAAATATACCTTATATAGGTATGGCCCTACAATATATCATTTAAATATAGCATGATAGGTCCACTTTAAAGGAGGTCCATATTGCTAACAGAAAGCAGCAGATCATAACAACGAGCTGCCATACATGGTTTTACATCAGCTTTTTTTCACACCCAATGCCCTATAAGAATTAGGTCTATCCTTCCAGGCTCTGTTTTTCAGGGGTAAACAGAAAAAAGTTAGTAAGGAAGTATCTTAATTTCAACCTCACTGGGACTCCTAACATCTGCTGCAGCTGTTGTTCAGGTGAAGATGACGTCCAGGCAGTGCCAGACAAGGCTGCATTCCTCAGAGGAGAATAATGACAGAGCTTAGGAGGGGGACGCTCAAAATAACATCACAGTGGGCAGAGAGAGGAGGTCAACAGAAACAATATGATGACTAATAAGATAAACCATGTTTACATACAAATGATTTCCTCTCACAGAACGGACAAAACCTCCCTGCTCTCTCATTAACATTCATAATTTCCACTCAGACGAGACTACGTCTAACATTGGTTACTATTATATAGGCAATGGAGTATGCTGCATAACAATCACCCTGCCTTTCGAACACACAGCAAACACAGATGACCTTTGAAAAACATTATAAATAAGCATCTTATACACATCTTATCACACTATGATATTTAGTCAGTTAGTAAAGTTGTTCTTATTTTGAAAATGTTCATAGGAGTTATAGCGACATCGTGGCGAGGGATGCGTTTCCATGGAAACGGCATATGGTGAGATCTCAGATTTGGCGTAGAGCTGTTGAGGCATGGACCGGTGATATACAAGTAAAGATTGGGGAACGATCGGACCGTGTCCATTGGACTTACAGCGACATCGTGCTTCATGGCGAGTGGTCTGTCGCCATGGCAACGGCATTTGAAGAAATCTCAAAACTGTCCCGTAGATGTCTTCACGGCTGGACTGTTAGCACACATGTGAAGTTTTAGCACTTTTTGAACATTTTCATAGGAGTTATAGCGACATCGTCTTTTATGGCGAGGGATGCGTTTCCATGGAAACGGCATATGGTGAGATCTCAGATTTGGCGTAGAGCTGTTGAGGCATGGACCGGTGATATACAAGTGAAGATTGGGGGACGATCGGACCGTGTCCATTGGACTTACAGCGACATCGTGCTTCATGGCGAGCATTGTGTTGCCATGGCAACGGCATTTGAAGAAATCTCAAAACTGTCTCGTAGATGTCTTCACGGCTGGACTGTTAGCACACATGTGAATTTTGAGCGCTTTTTGAACAGAGAGAGAGAGAGAGTTTGTGAGAGAGAGAGATGCCCCTTTCACACCGGCGCTTTTCCAGCTCCTGCTGGGAGCTAGAGCCTGAAAAGCGCCGGTTTTTCCTGTTCACACCGCAGCGGCGGCGCGTCATAGCTCCGGAATGCGGTTCACTTCCAGCTCCAAAAAGTTGTCGGTCCAGAGGCAAGAGCTTTGGAGCTATGACGCGGCGTCGCTTACGTCTCTCTTACGTCCGTCGAGGCGGAGGCGGGGTCAACCTCCTGAACAACAACAAAATGCCTGCGTTTTATCCAGTTTGTACACAACGATGGAAGACCTCAAAACACCGAATAAGCAGCAGTGGTCCACTGAAGAAACCAGTGGCAATCTGGTCTTCCGAAGAGGTACAAAGGAAGCTGGAGGGGAGCACGCGGGCCAAAGCCATTCTGCAGCAATTGAAGCGAGAGATGGCGTCCGCTGGTTATGATCGTAGCATTTTACAAATTAGCAACAAATAAAAAAAACTGAAGAAGGATTATCGGGACCAAAAGAAAGAGCTTGGACGGAGTGGCAGCGGTCGTACGAAAACAAGTCCACATTTTGACTTGCTAAACTCGGTCCTCGGAGACAGACCGACGAGTGGTGTGGGATGCACCGTGAATTCGCTTTGTCTCTCGTCAATTGGGTTGGAGGACGAGTCATTTAATGCTGGTGAGTTATGCATTACTGATTTGTGTTATTTGTGCCTTTTTGTTTTACAACATAAACTAAACCATGTAGCTATAGACAGACCTGGCAATAATAGCTAAAGTTTACCTACTACAGCTACCGCGTGGGCACCCATGCGCTAGCATGCTAATGCTAACAATAATAAACAAAGGTATCCCCATGGCAAAGACAGCGAACGCCTCCAATGTATCTTCTTTCTTCTCACTAACTATGTATGATTTGTTGAAGGGCTACTTTTGTTCATTGTGTTTATATTGTGTTTACAGGCATATCTCGTTTGGAGTGCAGTGAGTCGGAACCACCACCACCGTCGGCGTGTCTCGCCCGTGCACATGCTTGGGTCTCTTGCCACAACAAGCAGCTCTTCCCAGGAATCTCTGGTGACCCTAACCCAGCCAGTGGGCCGTAACAAACAGGGTAAGGTTTACAGTGTTCATAATGGTAATACTGTTCCCTGTTGCCATTTATCATGTCATTGTAGTAGTTGTTGAAGTTATGCAACTGCAGCCATAATAACAATAAAACATTTCATTACACAGTATATAATTTACACCTCATAGAATGCCATGAACACGGTGTTGACCTCATTATTATTTTTCCCTTTGTAGTTAAAAGGAAGCGGGATTCGTCATCTGGCCTTGTCCCGTTAATGGAGAGGAGTGAAGCCAGGGACGAAGAGCATAGCCGGGCGATGCTTCAGGAGGTGCAGAACGGCAATGCTGAGTTCCTACGGATCTTCAACGTCACAGAGCAGAGCAGAATCGAGCAGAGCCGGATCGACGGACTCGCCAGAATCGCAAAGGCCGAGCAGGACAGTCACATGCTTGGCTTGTTAGACAGGATGGTGAAGGTGATGGAGGCCAACAGCAAACAATGACATTATTTTTGTATCTCCATTGTTCATGCCCCTTTTGTGTACATCATTTTTTAAATACACTTAGTTATATAATATATACAGTATGTTCTCCACACTTTTTTGTGAATACTTGTATACATTCTTTTTTAAATACACTTAGTTATAGTATATACAGTATGTTCTCCACACTTTTTTGTGAATACTTTGTATACATTCTTTTTTAAATACTCTATTATATAATATACAGTACAAATATTGTCCATACTTCTGATTCTTTGATTTGTATGTACAATAAACATAAGTCAAAAGTCATGTCTTATTACATTTTATTTTTTCAGTGATCCACTGCAAACTAGCTAATGTCACTATGATAAAACACTGAACTAAAACAGTGGTAGATGACAAGTATGACTACTTGTATGCTAAGTCTGATTCTGCCATGCATTCTTTAAACAAAATGATGCTAAATGGAATCGTTACCTGTGTTATCTAAAATAAATGTGTCATTGTCAAGCTGGAGCAAGGCACACCATTTATTTTATTCCTATTTCTCTTTAGAAAGAAGTTAGGATATAAAATACTGACATAAATCTAAGTGAAGGAAACAAACTCAAATGTACTGTGCCCTTACCCAGCACAAATGTAATGACATAAAGCTGAGGTTAGCACTAAATTGTTCATAACACATCCAAAGAGAGAGCGACCAATCCCTGATGAATGTTGAGCACAGCTGTATCTGCACAGCAGCTCAGGTGACTGCACACACTCACACACATTTTATTTTTATTTTGATACGCTTTGGGTATTGCAATTTCACACGTTTACAAAAGTAGCTTAATAAATGTAGCTCTCAGGTGAAGAAAGGTTGGAGACCCCTGGTCTAAACCTTTTGGGTATGCACTATTTTTATAAGAATATTGTTCATACATTCTTTGATTTGTATGTAAAATAAACAAGTCAAGTCTTATAACATTTTATTTTTCTCTTGGACATTTATGTGAATTTTCAGTGATGTGCTTACTGTATGTGGGCCATAATAATGTGAGAAATTGTCGTTGTCTTTGACCTTAATGAGAAGTATTGATTTTTGATAAACTTTGGGGATTGCAATTTCACATGTTTACAAAAGTAGCTTAATTCAACCTATGACTACTATGTCAATAAATGTAGCTCTCAGGTGAAGAAAGGTTGGAGACCCCTGGTCTAAACCTTTTGGGTATGCACTATTTTTATAAGAATATTGTTCATACCTGTTTATCTGTTTACATTCTGTGATTTGTATACAAAAGAAAACACAATTCAAGTCTGATCCAGTGATTTTATTGTAAGAGGCATGATACAAAATAGATCAGGTTTAACTGCAGTAATATTAGTGGTCCCCCATGTTGAAATACTCCATCAATGCAGATCTAACGTCAGCTCCTTCTTGTCTACCGTTCTCTGGAAAGGGGTGTAAAGGGGGTTGGTTGTACACAACTTCATGGCAATATTCAGTCGTCCCTTGAAAAGTCGTCCGATGCCTTCCATTTCGTCTCGTAAGAGGAGACAGCGAACAGCGCTTCAATACAATCGGCCATTGTTGTTGTGATTTCCGCGCGGTTTGGGTTTTAGGAAGCAGGCACGTAAACGGTTACGTCATGACGCAAACGATGAGGCAATGACGCAGTACCATCCCGGCTCTTGAGCGGTGTGAGCGGTGTGAACAGAGCGGGAGCTGAAAAGGGAAACGGGAGCTGAACCAGAAAAGCTCTTGCGAGGAGCTAGAAAGTGAAAAGCGCCGGTGTGAAAGCCGCAAGAGAGAGAGAGAGAGAGTGTGTGTGTGTGTGAGTATGAAATGAACAGTTAGAACTGACTGCTGTCAGTTGGAGTGATGACATCATCGTGTTCCATTGCACAGGTGTTTATAGTTGAGCTAACGAGCTATGAAAAGATCTGAGGTTTCATTGTTCTGAATGAGAGATGAACCTCTTACATGTGAACGTTGTGTGGAAGAACGATAACAGATATCTGTGAAATTTCAAAACGTGAAGCATGTCAAGGAAGTTGAGTATCTGAAGTGTAATATTTGTGTACTTTCGGGTTAATAATGTGGCCTTTTTGGCAGTTTAACTAAAGGTGTGCGGCTGCTGCTGTGAGGAAATATCTGCCTGAAAAAGCTATGAAAAGATCAAAGGTTTCATTGTTCTGAATAAGAGATGAACCTCTTACATGTGAACGTTTTGTGGAAGAACGATAACAGATATCTGTGAAATTTCAAAACGTGAAGCATGTCAAGCAAGTTGAGTATCTGAAGTGTAATTTTTGTGTACTTTCGGGTTAATAATGTGGCCTTTTTGGCAGTTTAAGAAAGGTGTGCGGCTGCTGCTGTGAGGAAATATCTGCCTGAAATTACAATGGGCTTTAATGGAGACATATTGAACGTTTTTGTCACTTCATGCCCTCAAGAGGCATTTTGTTTAATTATTTTGCTTAATTATTTGTCATTTTTCAAGCTACGAGATGTTTTCCTACGTTTCTCATGAAAAAGTATGTCTCAGGAATGTAGGGTTTGGGAATTATGGCAGTTTTAAAAAAAAATATGAAGAGAAATTTCAAGATTTCCTTCCCTCTAGCTGTGACATCACGCACTCTAACTTAACGAGCTGCGCAATGTTAAAGTTCAAATGTTAAAAATGTGATGAATTATGGGATGTATCTCTGGAATTATGAAAGTTATGAATGATAAAAGTAATAGCAGTCGATTCCCGACCGAGCTGAACGTTTGATGTTTGAACGGAGTTTCTGCGATGTTGAATGTGGGAGGAGAAGACGGACAAAATAATTGGACGGAATAATAAGAATTTTGTCCGTAGCATAACATATAGTTGGAATGCTGTATCAGCATTCCCACTAAATTAATATGTCACATGACAGACAGTGCAGTGTAACAGGGGTGCTCTGAGAGGATGGGCATCATGTTACAGTGACAGCTTTTGGATAATCCTAGCAGCCTGTTTTAGTTCAGTACTAAAGCGTTGAACGTAGTGATTTACGAGCATGTTGTTGGTTTCTGTGTTCTTTAGCGTGTTGGAAAATGAGGAATCTCCCAAATCCCTGTTTGAGTCCCTGTGACTGAACATGCTAAGATGTATGGTGACAACAACAAAGACACATACAAGAACAAACATACACATTAAAAGTGCACGCATTCTTCAACCGCAGAAGGATAATGACATTCATCTCCGTTTGTTGTGTGTTAACCCTAGTGTTTGTGTGTGTGTGTGTGTGTGTGTGTGTGTGTGTGTGTGTGTGTGTGTGTGTGTGTGTGTGTGTGTGTGTGTGTGTGTGTGTGTGTGTGTCTGAGAGCCCTGTTATCAGTGGTTCCTGTCATTAGACATCCTCTGATTGTCTTCTTGTACTGACGTCTTTTTCCTTGGAACCAATAGGAAACCCCCCTTTCCCTGGACCTTGAGGAGCAACCACCCAAAAATAAAACATGTTCTGCACAATGTGTGTATGTGAGGGTGTGAATGTGTCTATAGGTTTGTGTGCGCTATAGCCAATAGAAGCGCGAGTGCTACATAGTGATGTCACTGTTACAGAACTAAACAAAGGAGTCCAATGGAGGCGCTTCAGGCAGGGGGGGAGTGTGTGGGAGACTGGAGTGATCCATTTTGCATCAGTTGAAGGTGCTGCAGGATTTGCAGGGATGATGTTAAAATATTTCAAGGGTAATGAGATCTAAACCACAGAATAGCCTGTGACATTGTATGGACGCTGCAAAATAGTAATTGCACCTAGCATTCATGCACAAAACATGTATTAAATGAGCACTTCTCTCAAAGTGATGAATGCCTAGTGCTTTACACATATTTATGACTAAACTATAATGAATGTCGTTCACAAAAGAGGATGCAGTCTGTGCTGACATTGAACATCATGAGATGATCAGGCCCTCATGATGCAGGGGGAAGTGGTCACATGCGAGCTCTACTGGAGGACTGAACATTCTGCTGAGAAGAAAGAGAAGGGACTTTTTTAAACCTCATTCATGGAATCCCACAGTTTAAGATATGTTCTACTCCTCATTCACACACACACCTATATTCACTGTGAATGTGTAAGGATAAGGTGTCAGAGGTGAAGGGGTCAGAGGATTTAGTGGGGGCAGGGACAAGCAGGCGCTACACAAGCATTTAGTTCTAATAGGATTGGAAGTGAACTAAAAATAAAAGCGGTTTTCACGCCAAACCACAAATTAAACATGCCAGCAGTGTGTTTGGTAGGAGCTTGTATGTGCCATGATAATTTCCTTCTTTTTTTTTTCATTGAACCTTTTCTGGGATTTCCTCTCAAATGTGTGCCATTATTAGCACCTGTATGTTAATGTATGAGGAGCAGGTTATGCCCTCTGTGATGCACAGATTATGAAAATAACACACTGCTCCAGACAGTGCAGCAGCACAGATGTCCACATGTTTCAGAAAACAATACTGATGTAGTGTGGCACAGGGAACTCACCAAGTGTCAGAAAACACAACCCTCACTATTTTCCTCCATACCCAAATCTCTAAAAAAGGGGCTGCAACGGATCTGATAAAAACTGATCCAGATTTGAACACTGTCCTGACGTCAGGACAGTGGCGCTACGGCTATTGGGCCAACTCCACCAATCAGGAGGAGACAGCCACGGCCATTGCCGTTCGAAAACACTGGAGACGCTGTAGTACATATGCCAGGCCTGTAGATGGTGCTGTTCTCACAGAATCTGCCCTTGCAAAAACAGAGCTAAAATATGTCAAATTGAGCAAAATGAGGCATGGCTAAAATGCATGATCTGTTTGG